AGCTACCAATATTTAGGAATAATCCACTACAAGTAGAGGAGTGACCTTTTTCGCTCCCAGGAGAACGATATCAGTGAAGCCAATTTGACGACTCTTGGGAGCGCGATATTAATGACATCGCTCGTTTGTAATAACTTTTCGCGACATTTTTGGTTACGAATAAGACTAATTTTGAGTCATTTTCGCAAACGTCGCTCGTTTAGGGTCGTTTCTGCGACATTTTCTGTTACGAAGAAGACTCATGTTGAGTCATTTCGCAAAAATCGCTCTAACAGAGCGATGACGCCTACGTCGCTCTATTCGGGAAAGAAAGGTCACTCTTCGTTTTACAGTGATCCAGAGAGTGCCCCCGTCATGCGCCGTTACGAAACTGCCGAGGCTCAGCGAATGCACGCTCGCATAGCGCCTGATAGGGAGGCAACACCGTGTATGCAGCGCACTCGTGTACTGCAGGGTGGCCTACCCCGAGTTTCGCAGGCGCCGAGCTTCCGTAAATTTTGCGAATTAAACTGAGAAGACCGAATATACTTTCAGGACGGTCCCAAAATCTGACTGAATAAAAACAACGACTTCACACATGCTGTAAACGTGCCCGGTGCTCGTATAGGATACCGAGACTACAAGTTGGCAGTACTAAAAGGCCCGTCGCGGGCGGAAGGGTTGGGCCGGGGCGGGCCGGGGAGCCGCGAAGCGCAGGAAATGCCCCTCCCACTTGTTGGCCGCTTCACCAGATGCAAATAGAGAGCTCCGAGATGAAGGCCTGTTTTGGTCCGAGCGCCTCGCGCGCCACGTCACTGTCCTGGGCGCGCTCCAAAAAAGAGCCAAGTAGTGACGCGCTCGGCGCCGCCCCCGTGCCCGTCGCGGTCGGGTCGTCGGCACTGCTGCTGCCGAGCCATGCGCGGTCACGTGGTCGAATGTGGTCGCTAAAATATAAATAACGTTGAAAAAACACTAAAAAAGAAGAACTACGGTGCGCGACGAGCGCGCTGACCCGACACGGGTCAAAAACACCACGACGCGCCCGTCTTTACGGCGCACGCGCTCACGGGCCGGACAAAAATACACGCGAGAGGAATAAGGCGGTATGTGAAACAGGACTGATGCGGAGGAGGAGGGGGCGGAGGAGGGAGGGGTTAGGTGTTATGGAGATCGGATTGGCATCGAATTGTCATTCGTCGGACAATATCGGGCGTGCAGATCGCGCAGCGCGGCCCGGATGACCTGCAGGACGATCGTGTTTATGTTCTCCCCGACGAGCGGGCGGCGGCGGCGGCGGCGGCGGCAGACGCAGGTGCGGTCGGCGGCGACGGAGGGGGTCTCGGAGAGGGCTGGTTGCGGGCGGAGCGGGCGGAGCGGGCTGCTGCTGCAGTGTCCTGCTTGTGTGTGTTCGTGGAAAGGGAATCCGATCGGCCGGCCCGGCCCGGGCCTGGCCCTGTCGTGTGAAATGTTTGGCCGTCCATCTCCGAAGGGCCGGCCGGCCGTTGGTGCTGGCCGCCCGCTGCCGCTGCCCCTGCCGACCTTTGCGTCCTTGGGCGTGTCCTCCTGGGAGGGGCAGAGCGCGGTCCAAGAGAAGCACATACGGGTGTACTCCTCCTGCTGCGACGCGCTCCCGGGCAGGGCAGGTCCACACTACATCTTTCGTGCCATGGCTCCGGATGCGAAGACGGCCACATTATACCGATGACGATTCTTCTTCTCATCGTCGCCAGCGGTCACCCTCTCGTCGCGGTGCTATTGCTGTTGTTGCTGCTGCGGCTGCCGCCGATCTGTGGGCGCGGCGGGTGGGCGAGGGATGCGTCCAAGTCCTGGTGGACCGCGTGTGGCGGGGCGCGGCGGGGCGGGGCGCGGTGCGGCGCGGCGGGCGGACCAGAGGGGCCTTGCAAGTGCAATGCCAACACAACACCACGAGCCCGGCACCCACAGCGCCGCGCTCCTCCACGCCACGCCACGCCACGCCTTGCATCCTTGGCGCGAGCGCGCGCGACACGACCGCGAGGCGGGGGGGACAATGCGAAAAGCCAAATAGGACTTAAGGCGGACCGCGCCGCGCGCGGGCCTATGTTTCGGCCGGCACACAACTCACACTCGCGGCCCGCACACCTACGCCCCGCGCACTCTCTTCACGCCGCCAGGGCCGCCCTTCGACGAGCCGTCGTTACCACCTGTCGGGGGCTCCTCATCCGTCAACAACCTTTCCTCTTCCTCCCCGAGCACTAACGACGTGAATAACGTCGTTACAACTACACCTGCGCTTCTTTCCTATTTTTTTCCAATGTGATGCAAGCAGCCACACGTATGCTCCGCCGTGCTGAGCCGCTGCCGCCGCCGCCCGTCCCGGTCGTGCAGGAAACAGATCGATGACGAGACGGAGCTTAGGCGTCGCGTCGGGGTCGCGGGGCGGCGCAAAAACGCGGCCATCCCACATTGATTTCTGCAGTTAATCCCCCCGGCGAGGCGAAGGCGATCCCTCGCCGTGACGCGGCATAACGTCCGAGAGAGGGATCATCCCCGTTATTAATGGGATGTCACAAGGACTCGCGTGCCGGGCGACTCTACGGACACGCCACGACCACGACTGCGGCGGCGCCGGCGGGGGTCCCGCGGATTGCTCCAGTTGGTACGGTATACGGGTCCCCGCCGTCGTCGGCCGGCTGGGGTCACAGTCGCGTGGGGCCGCGTCAAGGGGAGGCCCGTTACGTCGACACAAAACGGACGGCTGTCGTGGCAGTATCGACCTGGATATCGTACCAACTTCGCACGATATGGCAGTTTACACCGGAATGTCGCTGTCCACTACGTTCGATGGAGAACGGCGGCGGTGCCGTTTCAGAAGGGGGTGCTGGTTGTGCTGGTTGTCCAGTTGATGCCATGGGTGTGTGTGCTGCCTGGGTGGTTCATTTTCCTCAGTACACATTAAGTGGTCGTTCTGTACCGCACGCATCCTTGCGGCCGGATTCACCCGATTTACCTATCGCCGGCCAGCAGGGCGCCTGACGAACAGTCGTAGGCAACCCGCACGCACGCGTGCATGGCGGTACGGTCTAACTTAAATTGCGGCTTAAGAAGTGCTACAGCGGAAAAATATGTTTTATTGGATCTGTCTCGTCATGGTCTTTCCTTCACCTAATGTTCTTGATTCACGAACGGGCCGTTTGAGATGTAGGCGAGAATATCGTTTTCGAGGCGCCTCAACTCTTCCCGCGTCGTGTGAATATTCCGGCGCGTCGACCAGGTGGCGTCCCGCCGCCGCCGGTGACACAGACTCCAGCAGTCCAGCTGCAGCGAATATTAGATGAGTCATGATGTGATGAGCCTAGCCGGGCTGTTGTGTGCATCACCTTGTGGCCGCTCCGCCCCGCCCGCCGCCCGCCCCGCGAGGTGGGTGGCTGGCTGGGCTGCCGTGCGAGTGTGTGAGGCTGGCCAATCGTTTTGTTCGAGTCCGACACCACCTCTGCAGAGAGACGTACGGCTGCAAAGTGGTTGTCGCAACAGTGTAAATCTCCCTCCCTCCCTCCGCTGCAGCACACGCGGACTGTCCGTTGGGGTTTGATCATGAATAATATCGATCGCGCTTCGTCCCCCTCAACGGGAGGGCAGGACGACTGCGGAGGTGGCAGCAGCCCATGACCAGCGTTTGCCCTGTCCACACTGTAAAATGCTTGCAAACTATATTCTTTGCAACGTTGCAAAGAATTTGTGAGCTTTGTATTGCAAAGAATTAGTTCGTATTGCAAAGAAGTTCTTTGCAAGCTGGCAGAATCCTTGCAAACAATGTGTTTGCATTGCAAAGAACTAGTTTGTATTACGATGCTTGAAAATTCTTTGCAAGCTGCAAAGAAAATAGTTTAAAATACAAACCTATTCTTTGCAAGCATTTTGCAGTGCAACCTTCCATCTCCCTCCTTCACGCGTGTGGCGTGGAATGGCCTGGCGTTTGGCGCGGGCGCTCCACTACGGATGGACGTCTGGCGCCTATATCACGGCTCCCAGTGTGGCACCGGGCTGGCGCGACACCGGACCTTTTGACCTGACCCGGCCTGACCCTGGCCAGAATGGGATGAAGTAGCACCTCGCCATCACGGAGCGGCCGGGCGGGGCGGGGCGGGGCGAGGCGCGAAGGACCCCGACAGAGCCATTGACGCCGCGGCGGCGACGGCGGCCCGTCCGTCAGACGGGTGGCGGCGGGTGGCGGGCGGGGCCCCGGCTTTAGCCCCCGTGACTCACAGCACAGCCGCGGTGACCCCGGCCCCCGGCGCGCGCGGACACGCATGCATCTCGCCGCCAGATGGATGGGTGGCAAGTCCATTGTGCCGATACGTCACCACGCCCTCGCCTCGCCACTCGTCGTCGCTCTGCCCCCCCCCCCTGCTCCGCTCGATGAAGCGTCGGCAGACATGTCAATGCTGTCTGAACCACGCGCCGGGTGGAATGGCAGCGCCGTCCTCACCCGCACCCTCCACATAGCGCTTCATAGTTTATGTCGTTTATGTACAGCACTGATGTTCGTCGTTGCGTTGCGGTTGGCAAACCCCAAACTTTTGCTTATGCATGCGTAACTCACGTGTGGTTTTACTTCTTCTTCGCTCGACGATCGACAGAACCTCCGCACTGGGAACGTGCCCTGCGATGATTTCCGCGAGCTTTTCTCATTTCCCAGCAGCATATGCTGAAAGAGTCCCAAGAGATGCCCCGGAAACAAAGCTATTACATTCCCAGGGGATGTCTTGGGAATTATCCTTTGTTCCCGGAGAACCAGTAGAACTCCGGCTCTCCCAGGTGCCAGGAATCCCAGTGATCGTTTTAAGCGTGTCTGAGGTCGGATGGACAATTTGGTTAACACGAATGTTTTGTGTGTGACCCCGACCCACCGAAATCCTTACTCCACTCCACACCCACTACCCTAAGGATCCCCATTAGGGCCCGCCTGCGATCCGCCACGCCCTGCCCGCCGGCCCGTCCGCTCGTCCGTCCCAATCTCTGCCCACCCTCCTCCTCGGAGCCTGCGAATTCATACATATACCTTGCGGGAGAGCGCGCGAAAATTAATAAATCTCGAACCCTTCCGCAATCCGGGCGGCGCGACCCCGACGGCTGCACAACAAGCAGCGCCCGGCCCGGCGAGGCGCCCTGACGTCCCACATTGCAGGGCGCCGCCGCATGCACGCGGCCGGCTATTTTTATCCCGATCCCTGTCAAAAATAAATTGCGATGCACGCCCGGGTCGTGCTTGCGAGGTGCGGTGTCCGGGCGCTGGGGAGAGGAGTGGTGGGGGGTGGGAGCTGCACGGCCCGCCGGCGTTTGCGGGGGAACGGTGCGGCGTCTCCGGACTGGAACCGGTCTTTTATTAGACGTACGATAAATGGTGTCTCCGCCCCGCCCCGCCCCGCCCCGCCACACGCCCCGCCCTGCCCTGCCTCACTGCTACGCCCCGCCACGCGCCTCCTCTCCCGCCCGCGGTGCGATGCTCGGACGCGGGTGCGGGGGCGTCGCAGCGACGCCGGGCGGCATAACGCTGCATAACGCAATGTAACGGAGAGAGAGAGAGAGAGAAAGAGAGAGAAGGGAGAAAACGCAGATGAATAATATAGTGGCCGGGGCCGCCACCTTGACCGTGGCGAGAGAGGGAGTGCGGTGGGGGAGTACTGTTGTTTTGTCACATCTCACCTCTCTCTCCCTGTCTCTCTCTCCCTCCCTCTCTCCCTCTCCCCCCCCTCTCTCTCTCTCTCTCTCTCTCTCTCTCTCTCCCTCCCCCTCTCTCTCTCTCTCGCTCGCTCGCTGAAGCAGGGGGTACATCACTTAAAGATGTGGATGTACTCTGACTCATAGCCAAACCTGACCAGGTGACAGGGGACTTATTGGAAAATGTCTGAACCTGATAAGAAAAGTGACTAGAGTTGGTTTAAATCGAGACTGGAGCCTCTGGCGGCGATTTTCTCCACTGGCTGGTGACTAGAAAACGACTAGAAAATAATTTGTCCAGGCCCTGCACCATGACTGGTCGAAGTCATGAACCCCTCAGATCCCAAACACTAATAAACTGAACGAAATTGTGACAAGTGTCCACACCCTCGTTGTTGCAGATGCTGCTGCTGCTGGCGTGCGCGCTGCAGGCGCTGTCGGTGCTGGCCTCGCCCTACGGCGGCGGCGTGCCTTCCCCCGCCGCGGACTACACCTACTCGTACAGCAGCGGCGTGGCGGCCGGCCACGAGTCGCGGGCGGGCAGCCTGACGCACGGCGGCTTCTCCTACGTGGACGCCAACGGCCAGGTGAGCGCGGGGCGAGGCGCACAGCGGCGCAAAGGCCTTGCGATGCGAATGAATGGGCCAATGAGTGGCGCGACGGAGGAGTCATTGATAATGGACACACTGCTGCTTCCTCTCGGCACGTCTGTTATTAATTTCTATGTTTCTCTCTCTGTCTCTCTCTCCCACCAACCATGCAATCTTTCTCTGTCAACCCTCTGCGGTGACAAAGAATGACAAAGTCACACATTGTGATTCATTCATCTGCGTATTCTTTATTATTAAAGCTTCTCTCTCTGCACTGACCAACACTGATGAGTAAAGTGTGGAGCATTTTAAGAAGTCCTTTTTCTCCTTAATCTTTCGACTTTTTAATTAATTGTCACTTATTTTATTCTTAACTCGGTCATGACAAGTCAGGCCTAAGATGTGACCATTGCACATAATCCGTCTTTTGTACTTCTTCCCCTCTGCGCACTGCCGTTCGCCACTTATATTATTTCTTCATCCGAGCAAGCAAGCACATTCACCTTACTAGCTTTCTTTCTTTCGATGAATTACACATCTGCCAACTGCAACTGTGCCATCGAGCTACCTATAGCATCAATTCTGTTGCACTATCAGATTTCTTCTAGCCATATTTGACGCTTTTCCGATTAGGCACATTTAAAAAGAAATGAAAATTTTTGTGTGTAAAAGTTAAAATTTCGATCAATCTATAAATCCTGAGTGCGCTGGTGAACGGCAGGTGCAGTCGCGCCGCTACGAGGCGGACGGCGCGCGGGGCTTCGTGGTGACGGCGACCGATGCGCAGGAGCCGGTGCGGGAGACCCCCGAGGTGGCGCGCGCGCGGCAGGAGCACCTGGAGGCCGTGGCGCGCGCCAAGGCGCTGGTGGCGGGTGCGGCCGGCTTCCACCCCGCCGTCCCGGCGCCCGTCGTCGACACCCCGGAGGTGGCCGCCGCGCGTGCGCGGCACCTCGCCGTCGTGCACGACGCCCACTCCCGCTCCGGGTACGTGGGCGTGTCCGTCACCCCGGCGCCTCTGCCTTCATGGTCCACCCCCGGGGTGGGCGTTTACTCCGTGTCCAGCACGCCAGCCCCAGTCCAGGATACGGTCGAGGTAGCCGCCGCCAAGGCTAAGCACCTCGCCGCCGTGGAGGAGGCCAAAGCCCGTGCGGCAGCCGCCGCGACCAGCGGTGGATCCAGTGTGTCCTCATACCGTCAGGTAAATGCTATGTCGAAAATAATTTGATACAGCACCACTCCTTGTACTCGAACCCGCCGGTAATCAAGCTCCCCATCTTCCTGCGCAGGCCTACTCAGCCGCTTCGTCATACAGCCAACAGCAGCAGCACCAGCACCAGCACCAGCAGGCCCACTCGGTGTACTCCAGCGGCATCCCCGTCCAGGACACCGCTGAGGTGGCGGCCGCCAAGGCTCAGCACCTCGCCGCCGTGGCACAGGCGGCAGCGCGCGTGTCCTCCAGCAACTCCATCTCCAGCCAGTACGTGGCCCCCGCCACGGCCGCCCCCGCCTTCGTGTCCAGCAGGTTCCACTACCCCAACGTCCCCGGCGAGCTGTCACGTTTCCCCGCCCTTGCCCCCGCACCCATCGCCGCCCCCGCGTGGCCCAGCGTCTCGGTGCGCTACAACACCATCGCCGCCGTGGAGGACAACAGCGGCCGCTACGAGGCCGACGACGAGGGCCGCTACATCCCCGGCAGGGGAGCCGACGACGAAGGTCAGTACGACCCCCGACTCGACGCCGAAGGCCAGTATGACCCGCGCCTGGACGCCGAGGGTCAGTACGTGCCGAGCCTCAACGACGAGGGCCAGTGGACGCCCAGCGCCAACGAGGGGCAGTACATCGCCGGAAGGGAGGACCAGAACGGCGAGGACAACATGCCCTACAGCTACAGCTACTCTGACGGCCTGAGCAGCAAGGTGAGATAAAAGACTCGCGTGGAAGCAGAAAATACTCGTTGGTATAGCACGGTAAATATTAACTACGACAGCCCAACTTATCGCTTGTACCTGCTCCACCTGCTATTGTAGCAATGGCTGGGGTACTTGTGAATATTTTGTCTGTCTAGATACCAGGGCTCCAGGTGGCGGATACGCGCCGTCCACTTCCGTAGTAAGACTGCACCACACGCACGCGTGCGGTGTATAAGGACGAATGTGGACGGCTAGAATCAGCCACCTGGTGAAACCTTACCAAACGATTTTGTTTTCGTGCAGTCGAAATTTTCCCTGCAGTAAAATTGCACTACAACACAATTAATTTGCACGTGGGAAATGCGACACTACCCGCCTTTCTAGACGAGGCGAAGTGTCTCGCTTCCCCAAACCTGAGTGACCGCCACGCCTCCGCTAACACCTGTACGATGAACGACGACACGGCCGCACGACGCATGCGCGAGCACTGCATGACGAACGAGACTAACGCTGCGCTGCACCCTGTTGCAGACGGAGACCAAGACGGCGGACGGCGTCACTCGGGGACGCTTCTCTTACGTGGACGCCAACGGAGTGTTGCAGGGCCTCGAGTACGAGGCGGACAATGTGAACGGCTTCCGCGCCTCCGGCACCAACCTGCCGCAGGCCCCTGCCTCCTCCTACCAGCCGGGGTCGTACGCCGCCCCAATGCAGGCGTACCGCGCTCCCATCGCGGCCTACGGCGTACCCTCGCTGCAGCCGCGCCCTATCGCCGCCGCCTACGCCGGTGTCCCCGTCCCGGACGTCCCCGCCGACACGCCGGAAGTGGCGGCCGCCAAGGCAGCGCACTTCGCCGCACACCGGGAGGCCGGCGCCCGCCTCGCCAACGCCTACGCCGGCTAGGCGCTGACGACGTCCTCCCCCGCGACCAGGTCGCCCGAGGCCGGACCGCCTCCAGCGGGCGTACGGCGCCGGGCCAGCCGGGCTCTGTTTGGCATCGCTGGGCGGCGTTTCTCACGTAGTTTTAACTAAATGCATTTTTCGGAAGCAACACTTTAAAATGATTTCGTGACCCGACCTCTCAAGGTCGCGATGAGAAACGAGCTCGTCCAGCCGTCTTTGCGTTCTTTTGTCTGCGGAGGCTACTGCGTCTCCCTGCTGCGCATTCGATAGTGTTCTGTGATTTGGTGTTGAGTTGGATGGGGGCCTGCTCTTGGCATCGTGAAGACTGGATCCCAGTCTTTCCGAAGTCGATTGATGGCGAACTAAATGTAAGCAAAAATTAAAAAAAAAGGATTTAATTTCCATCGTCACCGCGCTCTGTATCACATTGCAATAAATCTCGGGGCCGCCCCGGCATCGCCTTGTAACCGGAGCGCCTGTAGGAAACTTAAAGTCAGACTACAGATAACTAATTTATTTATTGTGCCGAAACGAAACACCTTAGTCTTAATCGTTCGCCACCATGTAGGAACTGATAGTTTTGCAGTAACTCTTTCTCCGTCTATATCTGAGAAGAGAGTTACGGCTAGCAGAGTGCCCGACTTTGTACGTGCACAAATATGGACTGATAATAAAATACTGACTTGGAATGTGCCCTGTTGTTTTTGTTTCTTTTCATTTTAATTTTCTGAGCCCCACCGCCTCCCTTGTCTTTTCCACCTTCCTGCCTACCAGATGGGGCAGACACACAATAAAGCTCCTCGGCTACGCGCTAACTTCGGGTCAATCCGTATCGGTTGGACAACAACGAAATTACCGCTAATTACCTATGGTAATCCTTGCGTGGGATGCGGCGGTGGGATGTCTTATTCCTCGTCCAAGGCCGGTCCTGTCGTCTGGGGGACAAAGATCCGTGCTGCTTAACACAGATTAGTAGCGGGGGAGGGGAGGGGGATGTCAATTCTAATATAATCCAAAAGGGACTTACAGACAGGGTGGAACGGGGGAGTTGTGCGTTTTCGGGACAGTGCAACCGAAACAGACAGTGGACACCAGAACACGCCCACCCACGCACATTCCAGGAGCATGCCCGCTTTGGAACGTATACCTTGGCCGCGCGCCCGCTCGTCTGCTGGTCTGCGTCCAATTTAGGATTTAAAGTGTCCAAAGCGAGGTTATTATCCCTGTTTAGGAAAGTATAAAACGCACGGCCACCCCCCCTACTCCTCTTAGGTCTAGGGCAAATTCGACCTTTCGGTAGAGTGCCCCTTCTTTTCCCCCACGTTTCTGTTCTCTTACCACACTTGTACTTCATTTTGCCCGCTCTTCGCCTTATTTTGCTCTTTTACCCTTTGCGAAGGTCGCAAACCATGAATGCGGCATTGTCTCGCCCTGCAAAAATGCACTTCGACCGGCCAAAATAAAACGACTTCTTATTGACGTCATTCGCTGAGTACGGGCGGCCCCCGGTGCGGTGCAGCCAGCTCCTGCGGAGCGGTTGGGTGGGCCTCCCGGCCGACAGGAGCGCCGAGTTGCCTGCCTACCCCGCAGGGCGCGGGCGCTCGGCGCAGCCGCGCACTGCTCGGAGTTGGACAAGGTAGGGAGCGAGACAGTGATGATACGCTATGTTTAGTATTGTTTTGTACTTTTATTCGTTTTTTCAGTTGAATTCGTTTGTACCGTTATCACACAGCTCGACGGGCCCACCTTTCGGTAACTTGGAAGCTGAGTGGTGTTTCCGTTGGAAGGGTGGACGCGGCGTGTTGATTTCCTAATTATCTCAGATCACAGACCGTCATTTTGACACGAAGGAGGAAGATGATTATGTCTATTCGTCGTGCAGCTCCGGGAAGGGCTGCGTGTCGTTTGGAAAAAGAGTCACTCGCTTGTTGTTGACGCGAGGTGAACCTTTTCCAATGTACTACAAGAGTACAGTACTAAGGTCGTACGTATGGCACTCGTCGATGGGCTCGGGGCGCTTAGTAGGCGTGGGCGAGACGAGCGTGAGCCTCGTGGTGAGCGGCGTAGTGAGCGGCCTTGGCGGCGGCGACCTCGGGGGTGTCGGCGACGCCTCCAACCACCACGGTGTCGTCGGACACGTAGGCGGGGGCAGCGGGAGCAGCGACCGCGATGGGGGCGGCGACGGGGGCGGCGATGGGGGCGGCAATGGGGGCAGGGACGGCGATGGGGGCGGCGGCCACAGGGGCGGCGATGGCAACGGGGGCGGCAGCGGCCACGGGGGCGGGGCCGACGGGCAGGTCAGAGGCGGCGACGCGGAAGCCGTTGATGGGGTCGGACACGTAGCTGCGGGACTGCACCAGGCCGTGGGCGTCGACGTACGAGTAGGAGCCGCGGGTGATGCCGTCGGCGGTCTTGGCCTCGTTCTGGAGGAGGAAACAGAAGGGTGTTACATTACTGTTCGATAAGGGAACTCATCGCCATCACCAGGAAGGGCCCCTGGTGCCCAACCGTGACGGCCCCTGCCAGCAGCCGGGTACGTCCGCGGGTCACCACTGGTGGACTTTGCGCGGATTCAAAATGATACGGAAAGTTGAGAAGGCTCGGTGCTATCGGGTGTGGATACAACATGGCAGGGGCAGGGCGGGCGGGCCGGGAGACGGGTGGGCCGTGCTGTTAGGAGCAGCGGCGCCTCTCAAGGCTACGCAGGTCCGGCCCGGGCCATGGGAGAAGACCGCGCCTGACCACGCCCCGCCACGCCCCGCCACGCCTTACCGGCCCGCCACGCCCGACCACGCCCCACGGCGCGATACAGGAGTTTTAATGACGTCATTGGTGGCTAACGCTTCCGCCCGGTATGTTTGAACACCCGGGGGGGAAAAAAACCGTCGCGTTGATGTAGGAAATATTAACGACTCGATCTGCTTACCTTAGCGGACAGACCGCCGGCGTAACCGTAGCTGTACTGGCCGAGCTCGTCCTGAGCGTGGTACTGGGACTGGAGGCCGGCGCCGGCCACGACGGGGGCGGCAACGGCAACGGGGGCGGCGGCTACGGCGACGGGAGCAGCGATGGGGGCTCCGGCGAGGAGGAGACCGTCACCGTTGCGGGCGCGGGCCTCGGCATGAGCGGCGTAGTGCTGGGCCTTGGCGGCGGCGACCTGCGGGGGCGAGGAGAGGGTGTGGGGTGAGTGACCACGCCGATACTCCGCGCCCGATCAGCCGCGGGGAGTAGCGCCGGAGCCAGAGGCCAGCTCGGACCGTACGTAGTACGTACCTCGTAGGTGTCGGAGACGGGGGCGGGGAGGGCGGCCACGTGGACGGGGCCAGCGGCGATGGGGGCGGCAGCAACGGGGGCGGCGACGGCGACGGGGGCGACGGCGGCCACGGGGGCGGGGCCGACGGGCAGGTCAGAGGCGGCGACGCGGAATCCGAGGGCGTCGGCGACGTAGCTGCGGGACTGGACCTGGAATAGAGAGGGAAAGGTGTAATGTAGAGAGTGAGAGGGTCCGATGAGTCGAAGCGGCGTGGGCGGGTCCTTGTCCGCTCAGTCCTCGCGACTCTTAAT